CGGTTTCGGTTAGAAAATTGAGCATTTCTAACAAACCACAGGTTTCCTTTAATCCAGGATTTTGAATTATCCTTGATTCTTACTCACAGAGATTATATTAATTTCTTAATAAACATATTCCTATTTCATCTTTACTTTTTAAATCCTCACCTGGGAATATGCCTTTATTGATTTTAGAGCAAGAGGAAGGGAGAGGGAGAGACAGAAACACTGATGTTAGAGAAAATACTGATGGGTTGCCTCCTATATGTACCCTGACCAGGTATAGAACCTGCAACCCAGGAAAGTGCCCTGACTGGGAATCAAACTTGTGACCTTTTGGTGTATGAGATGATGCTCCAACCAACAGTGCCACACCAACTAGGGCCCTATTTCATTTTAAAAGTTGATTTTCATTACTATTCATTATAAAAACAAATTTATAAAAATATCAATTGGAAAGGGGTTAATGTCCAAAATATATATATTTAAAAACCCATAGATAGCCAAGACTGGTTTGGCTCAGTGGTAGAGCGTCGGTCTGCGGACTGAAAGGTCCCAGGTTCGATTCCGGTAAAGGGCATGTACCTGGGTTGCGGGCACATCCCCAGTAGGGGGTATGCAAGAGGCAGCTGGTCGATGTTTCTCTCTCATCGACGTTTCTAGTTCTCTATATCTCTCCCTTCCTCTCTGTAAAAAATCAATAAAATATATTATAAAATTTCAAATAAAAAAAAAACACAGCAAAAAACCCATACATAAAAAAACTAAGATTTAGCATCCAAATGACCCAGCAAATTATCTTCTGAAATGACATTTGACTATCATTTGAAGAAGTATAGAGTACTGTATATGTAGGCTTTAAAAATCTATAAAATTTATAGTAAGCCTCTTGTGAACATTTCATGATTGAAAAAAATGAGAACTTTGCAACCTGGAATAGCACTTAGAAAGCTGGTTGAACCCTTGCTGGTTTGGCTTAGTGGCTAAAGTTTCAGCCTACAGACTGAAGCGTCCTATGTTTGATTCCAGTCAAGGGCACATGCCTGTGTTTCGGGCTTGATCCCCAGTAGCCGATCAATGATTCTCTCTCATCATTGATGTTTCTATTTCTCTTTCCTTTCCCCTTCCTCTCTGAAATCTATATTTGAAAGCTGGTTGAGATATGTCCAGGTTTAATATAATAGGAGAGCGATTTTCAACCTTTCCATCACACATTAACGAATTACTAAAATTCTGCACACCAAAAAATATACTTTTTGCTGATCTGACAACCAATAGTTATAATTTTGATTCATTCAAACCAGATGGCTATTGCTGTGTTGGCTCTTGTCATTTATATTTTTAAACTTCTCCTGAGGATCTTTCCCCCCCCCACTGATCTTTAGAGAGTGTGGGAGGAAGGGGAGAGAAAGAGAGTCAATGTGAAAGACACATCAACTGGCAGCCTCCTGACAGGGCCAGAGATCGAATATGCAATGAGGTAGGCATCCTTGACTAGGGATCGTGCTTCTTCGGCCCACAGGCCGATGCTTTAACCACTGAACAAACTGGCCAGGACTGCTGTCAGTTTTTAATTTGACAATCTAAGGGACTACATAGTCAGGTATTGCCACGTTTTGAAAATTCTGGCAGCACACTGGTGGAAAACTGGTCTAGGTATTGCTGTGGAGGTATTTTGTAGATGTAATTAGCATCTATAATCAGTCGCCTTTGAGTAGAATATCTTCCATGATTTGTATCGGACTCATCCAATCAGGTGAAGTCCTGAAGAGCAAACACTGCTGTTTCCTGGAGAAGGATTTCTGCCTTACACTGTAACACAGAAATACTGCCCACGTTTCTAGCCAGCCAGGCTGTCCTAGACATTTTGGACTTGCCAGCCCCCACATGGCATAAACTAATTTCTTTAAACGCAGATTTTGTTACTGACATGGGTTCTAGAGGAAGAGAATCTTAAATTTCCTGAATTGGTTTCTGGAACAGTGTCTAATCTGATTAGATTGAAAGGCACCATTTCCAGTTGCAAAGAGAGCCCTGATGTCTATGACTTGATGTGGCAACAGATAGGCAAAACCCCACCAACAGATAAGAGGTGAGGTTCTGGGTCACCATGTATTTGGTCCAGAACATTTTGGTCAAACTAATGAATATAAGATTGTCTGTTTGCTTATAACCATACTGGACAGAGTGGGGGAAGAAAAAGGATGAGCTCAGGGCTTCAAATTTCTGGCTCAAGTGTAACCTAAATGACCAGAGTTTCTCTATCTCCCCTAAAGAAATTCCTATTACATAGGCATAGAGCTAACATTTTTGCAAACCAAAGCCAAAGCCTCATCCTCCAAATGGGCTGAATTACAAAGACAATCGAATTCTCCACTCACAGGGTATGAGCTGCTCAAGTGAGGGCTTTGATTGGGAAGGAATGTCCTGAAATCTGGATTGAGCGTGTTAACAAAAACAAAACAAACAAAAAAACATCGAAACCTGTAAAGTTTAGTGAGTTTATTTGAGCCAAACTGTCGACATATGCCAGGAAGCAGAAACTCAATAAATTGAGATAATGCTCCCAAGAATGGCAGGTTACATTTCTTTTTATACATTGCCATCAAAGGAGGGACTTAGGGTTACATGAAATTCATTGGTGATGAATTAAGGAGGTGGGATAAAGCAAAGCAGTGGAAAACTCCTAGGATTGAATCAAAAGTAAAATGATGGATGGGTACTTAGGTGAGTGCAGGAACAATTAACATGATAAAGAAGGAATTTGAGGCGTCTATCCTGGCGCCCACCACATTTGGTTGTGCCCCAGGGGCTCCAGAAAAAGGGAAGTTACAAGTTAACCAGACATCTCACAGATATGTTATCTTAGAGGCAAAAAAAAAAAAAAAAAGGCAAATGGCCGGACTGGTTTGGCTCAGTGGATAAAGAGTCGGCCTGCGGACTGAAAGGTCCCAGGTTCGATTCCGGTCAAGGGCATGTACCTTGGTTGCAGGCACATCCCCTGTGGGGGGTGTGCAAGAGGCGGCTGGTCGATGTTTCTCTCTCATCAACATTTCTAACTCTCTGTCCCTCTCAATTCCTCTCTGTGTAAAATCAATAAAATATATTAATAATAATAATAAAAAGGCAAATGGGCTCCGTATTAGAAGATCAAAGTTGATCTTTGTCAGGGAAAATATCGGCCTAGGACATGACTACCCACTATAACCTGTTTGTAGTTTAAATATTTAATTTTCAAACCATCTTTTGTGGTTATTTTAGGTCTCTGAGTTTGCAAGACTGCCACGCAGGCCTCTCCTGAGCTTGTCAGGTTAGCATGTGGCTCCTTTCGTTCATAAGAGTATTTGGGCAATTCTTGGGAAGCTGGGGATGTTGAACCCCCAAATCCTGCTGAGCCTCTTTGCCAGAAGCAAGCCTTCTCCCTGAGGTTGATCCTGTTTTTCCTGAGCAAATGGAGGCAATGACCTTCCAGGACGTAGTTTCCTTGCAAGACACTGTGGACTGTAGGAAGTGCTCTCACTATCCCTCTTTATTCCTGTAACCAGACTCAAGTCCCAGCAGGCCCTAAAAGTGAGGTATAGAGTATGACCCAGGAGGAGGTGCACTATAATCCTAAAGAACTGCCCCATTTTTCCAATTTTTACTGACATATCTGGGGGATACCAGAAGGAATATTAAGGGCATGGGGGAAATAGGGGGAGGAACACAGATTAGACTGAATTTAGTAATATGGCCCCATTAAGCAGAAATTCAAGATTCAATATTGTAACAACGGGTTTCCTGTGCAACCATGTGCTTAGACAGTTTAGTTCCCTTTGAGGTTTTTATTATTTTAAAGTATATTTTTATTGATTTCAAAGAAGGGTTAGGGAGAGATTGAAACATCAATGATGAGAATCATTGATCAGCTGCCTCCTACACACCCCTACTAGGGATTGAGCCCACAACCCGGGCATGTGCCCTTGACCAGAATTGAACGTGGGACCCCTCGGTCCCTAGGCCGATGCTCTATCCACTGAGCCAAACCAGCCAGGGCATGAGTTTATTTTAAATTCAAAGATGAGATGGCTAAACCCACATTTACCTAGTGATCTCTCACCCATCTTCCAAAGTCAGGACTATTTTGTAGCCAAGCCTCATTTCCTGAGATCTTGAAGCCATTTCTTCAGTTATTAACAAGCACCTGAGATTTGTTCATCACAACCACCAAGTTTACTTTTGCTAACACTGGTAACAAATGAGGCTTTTCCTAGCAGTTACGTGGAATGCCACCAGAGCCCTGGCAATTCTGGCGTCTGGTCCTTATTCAGCTGCCAAGTAGTCCCATGGTCTTCCCCGGGGACTCAGGTGGATGCTCTGAGGCTCATAGCCTCCTAGTTACCGCCACCTGGAGTGCAAGGAGGCCCTCGTCTAGTATCCAAAACCTACCATTCCATGTCTACTCATCTTTCTAAAAAGTACATTGTTTTTCTCTATGAAAACAAGTTTACCTTTGTCCTTCCAGATTGTTTATCACATTTTGCCAGATTCAAGAGTTAGGTCAACACAGCCAATGGGCAGCTGACATAAAATCTGCATGTTTATAACCAGAAGACCTAGAGAGCTTCCCAGTATCTTTCTCCTATATGCCGGCACATTTATGTATGTCTTTATAGCCCAATGATATTCCTTGACTATGCAAAAAGTTAACGCATTAAAAAACAGAAAGAAGTTCCACTTCTACGTATCGGATTAAAATTTATTTCGAAAGGTAACATTTTATATATCCTTTTAAAAAATGAAAATTCAAAAGTCTTAGAATTAAGCAATGAGTCTTCAATATTATAAAGCTATTTATAACAGTAATTAAAGTACTGGTAACATTTTACCCTTATAAAAATGTCACAGAATTCACATCACAGCTTGGATCCTTAATGATTCAAGTTTCTTATCTTACTCAATAAAGGTCTGATCAGTCTAAAGATAAAATTCCTCTGGATGTGCCATCCTCAAGGCTTCTAGTCTCACTAACCATTAGCTCACACAGTAGGATAGCTGGCTGCCGTGGCGATTCCACAGTGGTTGCTCTGGTCTCTGGCCATTTTCACGTAGCCTTTCATGCCCCATCCTGAACCCCAGCTGAAAGAAGAACATGTTTTGCATTTTATTCAAAGAATCAAGTACATATTAGCCTCATTAATAATGCTATCTAGTACTTAAAATAGTGCCTACCATGTATCAGACACTATTCTGAGGGCTGTTACATATATTTATAAGAACCCCCAGGATCCTTATTTTAACTTACTAAGCTATGAAATTGAGGCGGAACTGGAATACCAATGTAACACACTATTTCCACAGCTATCTTACACATCATCTCAGTGAAAGAACTTTGGCTGTGGAAACTGCTCCTGATAACCTCCTATGCCTGAGGTGAGAAGCAGAATACAATGGCAGGACATCAAATGAATGACAACGGGAGGATGCAAGGAGGGCACTGAACTCTGGGACAATTTTTAGGCTTAAAGAATCAGCAGAGGCAGATGTTTCTGCTCACTAAAGCTTGCTGAAAAATTTGAGACAGAAAAAGGAAATCAGCTCTCAACCCTGCAACTAAAAAGTCCTTTACTGGAAACTCTTGGAGCCAGATGTGCTCTTAATTAAGAAAATTTTCAGAATTTTGAAATGCAATGCTACAAACACATAATAATGACACCAACAAGGTTCTATAGAATCTTAAGATCCAACACCAGAACTTCTGTGATTGTAAGTATGAGAAAGACTTCTGGAATTCCCAAACTGAGCATTTTGGACCTGAAACCAAATACTGGTTCCAAACAAGGGCCCCCTTTTGAGTTCCAAATATAACATTTGGGGTTTTATACCTGTTCTTGACAATCCAATATTTATTGTTATTTGATTCTCCTCCTTCAGAGCCATAGCCAACCACCAGGACACCATGGTCCAGGTCTTTGCTGCTGCAGTTTGGTTCATAATAGATGCCTAGGAGAGTAAAATTCAATGTTGGGATGAGAAGCTCCAAGTGACAGGAACCCACCCTATCAACCTCAGGTAAGAGAAGCCTCTCAAAATTCAGTATTATGTCATAAATTCCAAACGAGGCTTCAATTTATTGGCCAAAAAATAGTAATGGCTACAAAAAGTAAAAACTCAAACTCAACTCACTAGAAATCAACAAAATTTAAACTAAATCCAATATATTTTCTAACAAAAAAAAAATTTCCAGCCGAGACCGGTTTGGCTCAATGGATAGAGTATTGGCTTGGGGACTGAAGGGTCCCGGGTTCGATTCCAGTTAAGGGCATGTACCTTGGTTGCAGGCATAGCCCTAGTAGTGGGTGTGCAAGAGGCAGCTGATTGATGGCTCTCTCTCATCGATGTTTCTAACTCTATCTCTCTCCCTTCCTCTCTGTACAAAATCAATAAAATATATATTTTTAAAAAAATTTCCAATATGATCTAGTTATCAAGACTAATACGATTTAGCCATTTGTTTAGCTAATATTAATTAGCATAATCCCTCCTACTCCTAGAATGCCACCTGAAGATTCTATAAAGAACCCTTGAGCCACCGGGCTCTTTATAGTTCCAATTACAATAATAAGAAATTTTTGGAATAAAGGTCCAATAATTGGAGGATAGTCATGCAAGTTTAGGTTATATCTATAGAACTAATTACAAAGCCACTTAGAGATATTTATGAACAGTCTGTCATCATGGGGAAATATTTAAAGTAGAAACATCACTATGTTAAATGTACACACTCAGTCCCAGAAAGCAGAACTTTAATCATGACGGTGTTTCCCAATTGTGCCTTCCCGAATTTCTATAATAAAAAGACAAACACCTACCTTCATTATAGAACTGGAACGATGAATGGCCTGCATCGATAGCGACAGAGATGGGCCCCACAGTGGCCACTGCCTTCAGAAGGGCCTTCTCACGCTGAGGGATATCCACAAAGCCAGTGTCGTTGGCAGCAGAAAACTCAGGTCTATATTTGCAGGTATCTGATTCCTTTTAAAGGTAAATGGGAAAGAGACTTATGAGTACCATCCACCTCCTGGGGAACATTAGTTCTAAGACCCCAGACTTAGTAGTTTGCACCTTATTTATTTCTAAGTCAACTTTATTTTACAGCAACCCCGGAAGCAAAATGCTATTGGCTACCTTAAAAAAAGTTTTCACTATGAGGAAATCTCATTATATGCAGAATAGTGCATATATTATCCACGTTATATAGAAGTAAGAACAGCTAGTTAACCATCTAATCAGAGATCTGTGCAAAATTTGATAATTTATAGTGACAGTTCTAACAGTTTGCATCTAAAATGTGAATGCTGACTAAGGTGTCTGTTATCTCTGAAAATGTTCAACTTTCAAAGGCAGAGCTGGAATAACAAGATAAGGAGCTCCATTTACCCTTGCGATATATGGATAGGATTCCTCTGTGTCCAGGCCTTTGTTGTCCTTAACGTACTGGAAGGCATTATCCATGAGGCCACCGTTGCAGCCCTCATTGCCCTGAGCACGGGAGCAGTCCACCAGGTTCTGCTCACTCAGCGAGACAAGTTTGCCAGTTTTCCGGAACATCTGTCCTTCAAGGCAACCAACTGCACTAAAAGCCCAACAAGAACCACACTGACCCTGAAACAAACAAACAAACAAACAAACAATGATCAGTTTATAAGGCAAATACAAAGGCTGACAACAGCCCATATACCCGAATGCTCTTAAAAACACCCCAGCAGCCCAGACCGGTTTGGCTCAATGGATAGAGCGTTGGCTTGGGGACTGAAGGGTCCCGGGTTCGATTCCGGTCAAGGGCATGTACCTTGGTTGCGGGCATATCCCCAGTAGGGGGTGTGCAAGAGGCAGCTGATCGATGACTCTCTCCCATCGATGTTTCTAACTATCTCTCTCCCTTCCTCTCTGTACAAAATCAATAAAATATATTTAAAAAACAAAAACAAAAACAAAACAACAACAAAAAAAAAACACCCCAGCAAAAAGCATGTCAGTCCAGTGGACCAGAGCAGGGATGCCATGCCTTTTTGGTGTTCCTGAGATAAAAGACCTGAACACGTCATACCTGGTTCTTCACAGGAGTTACATAGCCTTTCTCTCTCCAATCCACAGAGGAGGGGATATGAGCAAAGAGTGGTTCTCGGAACACCTTCCCATTCCGTTGCTTCTGGTTTTGATAGCCATTCATCACCTGCCTGAATTCTTCATTGGTCTAGAAGGAAAAGGAAATAAACTGCTGAAAAAGCAAGAGGTTATTCTGCTAAAAAGTACCGAGGAGAGGAAGCACACAAAGCGAAGCCTCCGAGGCCGCACTCACCATGTCGCCAAAGGCATTCATGGCCATGGTGAAGCCGTGCTTCCTTAGGCTGTATTCCCGGTTGTGCAGTTCGATCATTTTCATGTTCTTCTCCCACACCGCTCTCCTCCATCCTTCTTCATTCTAGAGGCAAGCACAGACCACGCCGTGTTCATTTCTACCGAAAACCCAACTCACCTTCACCACGTGGATCTGCAGACAGAGAGGAAGAGGAACCACAGCCAGGGAAGGCTTTATAGCTCTGGACCCGGTTCTGCGGGTGCCATCACAGGGATGTATAGCCACACGGTGCCCCCTAATGACTGCCATCAAATTACTGCCCTGGGATGGCTGGCCGCTGGAAGCTACTCTCTGGCTATGAAAGCCTAACCTCAAGGGCCCTTCTCTGGGGGGGTCCCGCTGGGCAGTTTTGGGTGTTACCCACCACGCCATATAGTCTCCTGTGTGTTGCCTTCCACTGGTACCACTGTTCATCCAATCTTGGATCGAGTTTTGGAGTAGCCGAGGCTATGCCCAAGCAAAGGGCAGTGAGGAGGAGCGAAGGATTCATGTTTCAAAAACCTAGGAAGGGAAAAAGAAATGAGCCTCTGATTAGACCAATCCTTCCGCAAAGCCATCTTACTGTGGGATAAAAACATTTACATTACCATCCCAAATATTTATGGAAGGCCTGCTGAAGGCTAAGGATGTGGGTGGAGAAAAAGAGGCCAAGGGCTTACCAAATAGTGGAGGTATATGATTCAGCCATCAAAATGAGAAACAGGCCGACCAGTGTTACAGGAATTGAAATGGGACCTCATTGCCATAGTGCAACGATCATTTAGGTTTTGATAAGGGCCTCAGGACACCTTCTGGGTCTGAAGCTTAAAAGCAAGAGAAAGGCCGAAACCGGTTTGGCTCAGTGGATAGAGCTTTGGCCTGCAGACGGAAAGGTCCCAGGTTCGATTCCGGTCAAGGGCATGTACCTTGGTTGCGGGCACATCCCCAGTAGGGGGTGTGCAGGAGGCAGCTGATCGATGTTTCTAACTCTCTATCCCTCTCTCTTTCTCTCTGTAAAAAAAATCAATAAAATATATTAAAAAAAAAAAAGAAATAAAGAAAGAAAGAAAAGCAAAAGAAAGGGACTGTTGGTCCAGGTTGTTCACTCAAAGGTACCAAAGTGACCCAGGAAACGATTTCTCAGGACTCTGATCCCACGTGAGAACAGGTTTCCACCTTACACCTTTCTTCGCGACTATGGTAGCAGCGCAGGGGGTGCAATACGCCTTCAAGCCTCCGCTGCTGGAATTTGACACCTTTCTGCAAGGCCTGACAACAGCCCATATGCCTAGGAAAACACGGGCAGCGGGGCACCCGGCGCGCTCGGCCTCAGCAGCCCACACCCTCCGTCAGTCCCTCCCGCAAACCCGCTACACGATCACGTGGCTCGGAGGAGCCCCGCGTTCAGCGCCCCCGATCCCATTGTCCGCGCCGGGCCCCGGTCTCCGGGCGCTCGGACACCGGCGCGGCTGGCGGAGCCACAACGCGGGAATGCCGCCCCGCCCCCCGCACACGCCCGCGCCCGCGGGTTGTTGACGCGGCGCCGGGCACCCGCCCCGCCGACCTGTGGCCGCCTCCGCCCCGGGGCCGCCGCCGCCTGCACCACAGGCCTCCGCGCCGCCCGGGCTTCCCGCACCCTCCGTGGCCGCACGGGCCTCGGGGCCGCAGTTGAGACGCCGGGAACGCGCGGCGCCCCCCGCTCCCGGCGGCGGCGCCCACCCCTCCGGCCGAGTCCCTGGATGGCCCGGCCCCGCGCCCCCGCCCCCGCCGCGCCGTGGCCGCACTGCACACTGACCTGCGGCGGCCACAGCTCGGGGGCCGCTCTCCACGGGCGCACGGAACTCCTCGAGGGTGGACGGGCCCGGGGTTCTAGCCCCGTCGCCCCTGACTCAGCCTTTTAAGGCCCCGGGCTGGCCGCTCGGCAGCCCCGCCCCCGCCGCCTGCGCGCGCCGCGATTGGCTGAGGCGGCCGGGGGCGGGGCCTCCGGGGTTGACACTCCCGGCGCGTGACGCGGCGCTGTCCCAACTCCAACGCGCTTCGGTGCGACCTCGCTCCCGGGACTCGGGGGAGGCGAGCTGGGGCGCAGGGACCACTGTGGTCCACTTCCTAGAACCCGGATCACCCAGCTACCTGGCATTCACGTGCCTGACGGGTGATTCATGGAAAGCTTACCGAGAGCCCCGGCGGACTCCCGTGTAACCAGTGCCCTTCGGTCCCGGTCCTGGTTAAAACCTCGGACGAAGGGAACAGACCATCCAGCCCGGCGGCTCCCGCTCATCCCGCACACACCGGGGACTGCGGGAGCGGAGCCGCAGACGCATGGGCGCTCACTGTTCGCAGGGGGCGCAGCGGGCTTTGGGAAGAATCCGGAGCGGAGTGACAGTGCCCCGAACGCAGACACGGTGGTCAAGGCTCATCTCCTGGGGAGGAGAGGAGACGCACGGGAGGGTCTCCAGGGAAGGCTGGCATTTTGTAGTTCTCCTTTCCCACCTTTCCCTGGCAGGGATTCTTCCCTCTCAAGCCTTTCTGAAAACCCACGGGAAGGCATTATTAGCAAAAGAATTTGGCTTAATAAGAACAGCTGTGGAGAAGGGTGGAGACTGCTTTTACTTTCCTGCTCTTGGCATTGTGGATGGATCATTGTCTTCCTTAGTATCCAAAATGCTTCTCTTGGCTTTAAGAAGAAATGTACTTTCATATATATATATATATATATATATATATATATATATATATATGGATATTAATTCAGAAATGTTAAACGTTTGTTTTAAAAATTATTTAAGAAGTGTATTCATTGTAGAAAATAAACAGAGATGCAAATCAAAATGATAATGCGGTACCATCTCACACCTGTTAGAATGTCTATCATCAACAAATCAAAAAACGACAAGTGTTGCCAGGACCGGTTTGGCTCAATGGATAGAGCGTCGGCTTGGGGACTGAAGGGTCCTGGGTTCGATTCCGGTCAAGGGCATGTACCTTGGTTGCGGGCATATCCCCAGTGGGGGGTGTGCAAGAGGCAGCTGATCGATGATTCTCTCTCATCAATGTTTCTAACTCTCTATCTCTCTCCCTTCCTCTCTGTATAAAATCAATAAAATATATTAAAAAAAAAAAACCGACAAGTGTTGGCAAGGTTGCAGAGAAAAAGGAACCCTCGTGCACTGCTGGTGGGAATGCAGACTGGTACAACCACTGTGGAGAACAGTATGGAGCTTCCTCAAAAAACTGAAAATGGAACTCCCATTTGACCCAGTGATCCCACTTCTAGGAATATATCCCAAGAAAGTAGAAACACCAATCAGAAAGGATATATGCACCCCTATGTTCATAGCAGCACAATTTGCAATAGCTAGGATTTGGAAACAACCTAGATGCCCGCCAGCAGATGATTGGATCAAAAAACTATGGTACATCTACACAATGGAATACTATGCTGCCACAAAAAAGAAGGAATTCTCATCATTTGCAGCAACCTGGATGGAATTGGAGAACATCATGCTGAGTGAAATAAGCCAATCAATGAAAGAAAAACACCATATGATCTCACTCATTTATGGATAATAAGGAACATTATAAACTAATGAACAAAAAGATAGATACAGAGACAGTAAGGCAACAAACAGACTGTAAAATTATAGTGGGGAGGGGAGGGAGATCTGGGGGAGATAAGAGATCAACCGAAGGACTTGTATGCATGCATATAAGCATAACCAATGGTCGCAAAACTCTGGAGAGGGAAGGCATGTATGGGAGTGGGGGGGGGGATTGGTAAGATATGTACACATACAGTATCTTAATAAAAAAAGAAAGTGAAAAAAAAAAAGAAAATAAACATCCCTTGTCCCTTCCCTAAACTCTTTTATCTAGGCATATCTTTATTATTATCTGGAGTCACAGTGCATGTCAGTTTGTAAATTCAATCGAGAGACTGCAGAAGCACACATAAATAAGTATTTTGAAAATGAATTTATTAAAAATTTCACTTTATGTCCTTTAAAGTAGAATCCCTTTCCTATCAAACACTATTGGGAGCGAAAGTTCTGAAGTGGTTACAAAGTACCATGTTTTGCATATGGCTGAAATTGTTTTTTTCTTTTTTAAAAAAAATGTAACCAAGGCAGTCAACACTAGTGGAAGTCCGCCCACATGAAAACAAGGGAGACAATTCAAAGCCAGTTGGAGGTGAGGAGAAGCTTTATAATATAAAAAACACGGAAGCTTCCCTAAGACCTGATTAAAGGCTGCTGTCTTGGGGAAGATGTAGGAGGAACTAGGCATGGAGCATCTTCTGAGAGTGGTTTGGGGAGAATATTTGGATCTCTCTGCTTTGTCCTAGGTGGGAAGTGGAGGCAAAAAGAGATTGGTAGCCACTCAGGAGGTTCTGACTGGTTTCTTCTAGTTTCTTTCTAGTTTCTTTCTAGTTTCTAGTTTCTAGTTTCTTTCTAGTTCTGACTGGTTTCTTCTAGGAGGTTCTGCGGAGGTTTCTTCTAGAGATCAGAGCACTGTAGTCATATGAAACCTAGCCACTGTTCTTTTGTTTACTCAGTCCATCGCAAGAAATCCAAGTTATTCTCACACGTGGGCTTTACAGTTCCCCTGGGCCACAGCCCCATAAGATTGCACAGGGTGGAAAAACCTGCTGCTGCACGAACGCCCGCACCTTAGGCAATGGCCTCCCCGTAGGCTGTGTGGCGGGTGCCGCTCCAAAGAATGGCATCCCCTTTGTTTCTTGGGATGTGATTCAAACATAGTGAAACAAAAAATGGACTCTCTTTACTGCAAATATGCTCAAAAACCTAAAATCAAATCAAGAAATACCTAAGTCAGGAGAAATACCGAAGAAAGTCATGAAGGCAAGTGAGTGGAAGGTACTACTCCAAATCATGACATCGATTTATACGTAATCAGCTAAGTAATGCATTACAGAAATGGGTTGTTACTAACTATAGTGTTCCTTTTCTTCTTCTATTCCCATGTCCATTGCCACATAACTTTGATGAGTACTAATTATTAAAATGGTCACGTTTTAGTCAAGCAACCAAACCTTAGCCTGCCTTTGATAAAATGCAGTTGGCAGGACTTCCGGATTCCCATTTAAAATTCAGTGTCTGTGAAAGTATCTTCTTGTGTGCATCTGAATAGATTACTTTTGCTCACTAGGAAGACAGGATCTAATTCTTTACTTCATCTCTGGAAGTTTTTAACCATAGGGTTGTGAACAAATCTAGTATGGCGATATTCAAGACCACGAGGCCACTTAAAACCTTCCCCGTTATAACCTCCCCTTTCAATTTGTTGAAATTCACTAATCCAAGACTTACTCTTTATTATTATTATTATTATTAATTTAATAAATCTTTATTGCTCAGATTATTTCAATTGTTTCTCCTTTTCGTCCCCATAGCTCCCCTCCACCTGGTTCCCACCCCACCCTCTGCCTTTATCCCCCCACACATTCGTCCTCATCTATAGGTGTACGATTTTAGTCCAGTCTCTTCCTGCACC